TCACTGTGTTGAATCAGATAACGGTGGAAAATAAACATTCTCCTAACATTGTTCATATCTCCAACTGGCAGTAACTGTTCCTACATGTTAAAAGACATGATATTGCTTTGCTGCTGTCTTTTTAAGAGGACTGAGTTTAATGATTATTTTGGTAATTGATTAATCTGTTGATTATTTCTTTGATTACTTGAATAAAAAGCAACATTTCGCTGATTTATTTTTATAAATACATTTTATTATCTTGGTACAGGTACTGCTCTCATAAATAGACAATGGATGCATCCCATGCAGTTAATGTACCCTACTTATGCACTATTCAAAAGCAATTTTTGTAGTTGCGATTACTGTGTTCACACTGAAAATTCCAACAAGAAAAAGTGCACTTTAAATACCCTGAAAATACACTTATTTAACTGAAATGTTGGACACCTCATGCACCTTTATTTTTTTCTTTTTGGCGCAGAGACCTGACAAATTAATACAATTCTTTCAGCCCTGTACAATCCAGCATGTAGGGAAATCTTGGATGCACTGTAACCTGTCCTGTGTGAGAGCTAAAGATTCAGGGATTCATTCAGTTTAGGTCAGTCAACGTTTCATTTATAATTCACAGCTCAGGCCTTTATTAATGAGGCTTCGTCCATGGGAAAGAAGCAGTGTGCATGACTGTAGCTCACTTGTCAATTTTGCAGTTAGACCTATACGTTGTCTCCAGACACATTTTGATGAAATGATGCCTAATATTCCCTTCCATGTGGAGCATTCCCTCAATTTATATTGACTTTGTCCACATTCATTAGTGTAGAAGAGCATGTCAAGCCTCTGTGTGTCTTTTCATCTGATCAGGTTGCCTTCTCTCTTTGTGTCTTTGTTTCTAGCTTCCTTTTAACCAATAGGCGTGTCACCCAAGAGCGACATTCCGCTACTCTTTCCACTGCCCTTCTTTCTTACACGTCTCTTCCGACATCAGTTTCTCCTCACAAAGGTCTTCTTTCTTCCATCCGTGATGAAGACGGCAGCATCTTGAGACACCCACAGTCAGCATCTCTGTTTTGGTCAAATCATGAAAATTCCCTAAAGGCTGAACAATGGAAAACAATAAGGCACCTGCAAAATAATGAGCCCTCAGTCAGCCGTGATGGGCCACGCAGGCATGATGGTTCGCTTTAAAGTGGCCTGCGATGAATGTACAACCACACCTGAAATCCCCTCCAATGGAATTCCCCCTCTCACAAACACAGTGTGCTCGGCGTTGCAAATATGCCCTTATTTCCCCCCATATTTTCCTTGTGTTGTGAGATCAGAGAGTCGCAGGCCTTTGTCTGTGAACTTGAAGGCAGAGCTGTGCTGCAGTTTCACTTGTACGCGTCATTGTCACTCTCACCGTCAGCGGTTTCAGCCCTTGCATGCACCACGTCACATGAATGCGAGCAGAAACTCTGCCTGGCTGAACAAAAGGCCAGCTGTTTGCTCTTGGCTCCCCTTTTAACTGTGGCGTACGCGTGGGGAATTATACTCACAAGTACAAGTCTTCTTTCTGCTTTTCTTCCGTTCTCCAAAGGTTAAAATAATCCTATCCTTCAGAACACTGCCACAAAGCAGCTTCATTTAGCTCAGCCAATGGCCAGACCAAAGCCAACATCAACATCGTGTTTGGCTATGATGGATATTAAATGAGTTCTGGATGCCAGACAGAAGGTTAGGGGTGGTTGACTGTGGGATTTCAGTGTTTAGTTGCCCTTTTTATGCCATACACTGTACTATCAGCTCTTTCACAGTGGTGACTCTCTCTTCCCAATAGAGGTGACCCTCGTTGATCCCTGATCCCCCAGTCGGTACTAGGTAGAACCATGGCACAAATAAGCTTTGTTGGCTTGAATGTACGCTAGTGCTCAGGGAGTCAAGGGGTCAATGTGGAGGCCGAGGGGAGGAGGGAGGTGGAGAGTGACAAACCTTTGGTTGTTTCCTTGCAGAGTAAAAGGTGTTTACTTCGAACATGGCAGTTGGGAATGATCTTTGGTCATTCATTTTAGATTTAGATTTGAGCTTTTGAAGTCAAACTTTTTGGTTTAATTTGTTCGTTTAAATGTTTGAAGTAGCATAAGAGAATTGCTAGATTAATGAACCTTCTGCTCATTGGGCCACTCAAGTATGCTTGCAAGTTCTCAAGTTTTTTACTCTGGCCTGTAATCCCACTCTGAGTGTTCACAGGCCTTGTGCAGGTCAGTTCTAGGGTCAAAATTTCTGTGACAATAAATTGCATGTTTTTCACTTTTTTTTGTGAAAAAATAAAAAGGGGAAAAACACAGGGAAATTCTTGATAGATTTATACAGCTGAGTCACAGTTACTCGTGTTCACTACCATTAAAAAATTTACAGTCGGTGAGATTTTAAAATGTTTTTAGAAGTCTCTTATTCACAAGGCTGCATTTATTTAATCAAAAATACAGTAAAAGCAGCACTATTGTGAATATAATATTTAATATATTTTAAAATGTAATTTCTGATGGTAAAGCTGAATTTTCAGCAGTCATTACTCCAGTCTTCAGTGTCACATGATCCTTTAGAAATCATTCTAATATACTCATTTGGAGCGCAAGTAATATTGCTTATTATTATCCATGTTGAATGTTATCAAACAGTTGTGCTGCTTAATTGTGGAAACCATGTTTTTTATGATTCTTTAATGTCCAAAAAACAGCAGTTATTTGAAATAGATTTTTTTTAACAATGTAAAAGTCTTTACTGTAATTTTTTATGTACATACATTTCATGTTTTATAAAATTTCGTTTTGTTTGAAAAAATCATGCAATTTATTAACACAGAAACACTGTTTTAGGAACTGCACTTACTTGGTTCACTTTGAGTGCATGTGAACCTAGTAGATCCATATGTTTGCTTATGAAATTCTAAGCATTTTTACCCATAATAATGACAAATTGTGGCAAGTATGTGTCTATATGTTGTTTTACATTCTATTTAGTCCCCATTAATCTCTTAACACCTGTTAACCTCAGATGTTGTGTACAGATTGTATTGTATGTGTTTTGTCATGTGAGATGGTTTGAGGTGTTTTCTTAACGTGTGTGTGGCTTCGTGAGTTTGCCTGCAGCGTAGCTATGGTGTCATTAACATTCCAGCAGTCATAGCGGCACCGTTAACACTCCGCTACATGACGGGACAGCTCTGCCTGTACCTCTCTACCTGCTGCTCCTTCTCTCCGAATGTCTGTCTTCCTTTTCTCACGCCGAACACCCACCTACACAAACAAATACATATAAACACATTCCAATCTCCATAACTTAGAAACTAAAAGCGAAATATTTATTTTTGTTACATGTGGGTGTCAGTTCTTCTGACTCATATCTATGTTGTGCTGTCATTCTGAGAGGACTTCTACAAACAAGTAATTTTTCACACCACTTTATCTGCCTCTCTTGACAGATGCAAGACAGGTACACTTCAGGGAATTATCTGACTTGGGTTATTTGGTATGTTTTGGAAAGTGTTTTGTAGTGTTGTACCAGGATTTGGCTGAAACGCCCTGACCGTTGGTAGGTGTGCTGGTCTGGTGTCATTGTTTGCCTAAGGTTTTTTTTAGTGCCGCATATTTTGCATTTATACCTGTAGGGCTCAGAAAAGGCAGTACTTGTTGATGGTGCTTTCAGGGGATCCACTCTGATGTAATCAGTCTCTGTGCCTACATGTTGTGCAGTGAGAGCCCTCTTGACTCTGAGCCAAGAATGTACTAAGAATGACAAATATTGAAACCATGGAGCATTGCATTTATGTGCAAAGTGTTAACTGGTGTATATATATAAGTATACTGATACTATCTCAATTTGTTGATCGATATCTCAGTGTGTGCTGTGTGGTTTAAGGCAAGGCAATGTGTTCCTCTAATTATGTTAACGAAGCGCTCTTGCAGACTTGCAGAACTTCAGCGGTTGCATGACTCAGTCTTGTAATTATGTGCAGACTAACTTTGGGGGAGGGGGGGGGGCAGTATATTCTTTTAAATACATGCAGCAGTCAGACTGTCAATGAACAATCTGTATTGTAGTTTTGATACGCTGTTAAAAGCAACTCGTTCACAAGGATGCAAAGTAAGAATTTATTTTAAAGTTACAAAATATTTAAGAAAGAATATTTTTATTTTACATAATCTGTACAGAGATGACATCCGTTTAACTAAATGACTTTGTAACAACAGCTAAGAAATAACTCTTATTAAATAGAAGACTGGAAAATTAAAGACAAGGAAGAGATTGTTTCATCGGTTTGCTGTACATAGTATAAAAAAATTAGACAGAGCTACAAATGGAATCCATAATGTTGTACCCTGATTATTAGGCCTCTTGAGAAGGATAATAATTATTATCAATAAGTATTTTACAAATATTGGAATGGCCTTGCCACCTTATTATAATAGCTAAAATATTGGCCTCTTTGGTACAGTTAATTAGGTACAATAAATTTTTCACAAAATTCAGTTTTACTATAAAAATAACATTTTCAATGGCAGTTTTTTTTTACTAATCACGCAAATTTTCAGTGCAAACATCGTAACAATCATCCGCTTTGGAAAGCAAGCGAAAGATCACATTTCAAGTATTGATAAAGATTTAAAGACAAGCAGAAAGAAGAATTCAGTTTGACATAGTTCAGGATTACTATACATTGCATAGTTCGTGCGGCACTTTATATTAAAAGGACTATGGGCAAGGGTAGGTCCACCTCTTTATACCCTTTTGAAGGCTTTGCATTATGCAAGTGCTTTAAATTGTGCATTTTGAGAGTTTTCGCAAGTGCTGTACTCCCTGTAAACCAGCTGGACAGAATGGAAGCGGCTCCGTGGAATGCACACCACTGCAAGCGTTTGTCAGTCACAGAACTGTGCAGATGAAGGAAGCGGTGAAGTTTGTGCTGTACCGGTTAGACCTCAAGATCTAGTTATGCAGTCGGCCACAGTTGAGACGTGCACACATTAGTAGAACAGCAGAAGTATTTTCAAGATGATCTTGTCCAGAGGTGTTTGCAGTTTGAGTAGAAGCCTCACAATGGTTTAACTATGCCGCAGACAACTAGTCATTGCTAAGGGAATACCTCTGAGAACGACTGGGACGATGACATGCACTGATTTTGAAATCTCCCCCTCAGTTGGAATGATTTGTCATATTGCCTTAAACAAGCTGTTGAAGTGCTGGTGTTCTGAAGTAGAAGGGACATTGAGATATGCCAGTGCTTGTAAAACAGTTTCTAAGTACTTGTATCAAAGTGTGACACCAGTTTGTCTCCTTTTTGCAGTTGGAGAGGACAGTATTGAGCCATTTTTTTTAAGTCTGGAAATGGCAAACTAGAGAAAAACCAGGTTGTTGTTCCATTTCCCTTATCATCCCAAAGCCTTTTTGTTCATTAGAAGGACCCACCTGTCATACATCTGATGATCTACTGCTTGATGCACACACACACATGTGCGTGATTGTACTTTGTGAGTGCACAAATATTAACACAATCTATATGCATGTGGTTCAGAAAGACCATAAATATGACTGTCACTGCTTTCGTAACATGTCCTAACATGGATTTTGTTCAGGCACAGCCACACTCCTCCACGATCATGTTAGGCACGTCGCGCTTGACGATGTTGTACTCATCATCGAAGTAGAGCATGGACATGGTGCTGAGTTTGGTAGGTATGCAGCAGGAGTTGACCGATCCAGGACTCATGCCTCTCATGCGGTACTGGTTAACCACTGCCGTGTGAAACGACGAGGCAGAGCCTGGAACACCTGCCATGTAAGCTGGGCAGCTGCCTTCACAGTAGTTCCCATAGTACCCTGCTGGCGCGATGATCCAGTCGTTCCAGCCGATGAGCCGGAAGTCAATGTAAAACTGCTGTCGGCAACACAAACCGCCATTGTTGCCGTCACACTCCAGGCCTCTCTTTCGGATGCGGTGCTTCCCTTCTGCCTGCTGGGCGCGAACCACCAGAAAGGGTCTGTGTGAGGGGTCGCTCGGGTCCACCAGGATGGGTAAAACGTTGGCAGCTTCGCATCCCTCGCAGTGGATGTCGAGGTCCTGACGGCGACCCCCTTTCGCCAGCATTTCCCTCACAGCCTCGGACACAGGGAAGGTGTGCCAACCACTGCGTTTCAACTCCACACGTTTTTCCATCACGGGCCAGTGCATGTTCTGCCCACCGGGCTCATAGTAGTGCACTCTCACTGTCACTTTCCGTCGCAGTCCCTTTTCCTGAGCACCTGGCAACAGCTTGAAGTACAGCCACAGGTGTGCCTGCAACACGTAGAGGTTCTGATTCCCCTCATTGGAGATGAGGAAGTACAGGCTGGACTTAGATGGAGTCACATCATCTGTAAGAGACCAAAGAAGTTTGTTAATGGTGGTTCTTTCTTACAAAACAATCTTGTTTATGCCTTTTTTTGTCAGATTTGAAATGGCACAAACAGGTTGTGATTCTGCTGACGACTACCTCTCCTTAGCCACATTCACTGACATAAACCACCCAACTTGTCAAGATTTACTAGATGCCACAGGTCTGGGCCCAAGTCCAATTGGCCTCATGGTTTGGGCTGAAGATGCTGGACCGGGTGAAAGGATGGGGGTTGTCGGACGTGGGCCTTTCCCCAGGGGGTTCATTGAGTTCACAGAGAGAACTGTGAAAACCCAGAACTTCTGGAGCCTCAGAGACTGACAACACAATGCTCTGTGAAAGGTATTAGGAGAGTGCTGTGGCACAGCCTAGCATTGAGCGTGTGGCCTTCAAATGAGAAGCATTATGAGGCATTTACATGACACTGGCCATTAGTGAATTGTGTAGTCCAAGATGCAGGAGTTGATTTATGTGTGTGTGTGTGTATATATATATATATATAATTTGATTGCAAAGATTTATTTGACCACCCAATATAATTAGGGAAATCCAGATATATTGAAAGCTGCACATGAATCATGTTCTCCGTAATCCTGATTTGAATGCCAGAGCTGTTTGGCACGTTTTGAAATAGTAAAACAACCATGTTTGCAAACAGATTAGTTTGGTTTAACCCTCATGTGGTGTTCAAAACCCTATAACACCTGTGGTGTTCCCGGTCAAAAATGACCGGGCCATAAAAAAAACCTTATAAATCACTCATTATACCATATTTTCACCCAATCTTGGATTCAATCTTTTTGTCAACATGTTCTCTTTCAATTAGGACTGGTTTTATATTTTGATTTGCATCTGAATAATCATAGGCCTCATTTATTTGAGAGTAGGCATTTCATTTTTTGAGTAATTTTTTTTTAATTTTTGAATAATTTTGGAAATATTAAATAAAATCTGAAGAAAATTGGTATTGTTGATCACACTAGTCAACTTAACATTTTCACCAGGAATTTTGTTTTGAAACTTTTGTTTTGTAAAAAATATGGCACATAGTCACACTTGTGGTGTTCCCGGTCAAAAATGACCGGCCTATAAAAAATAGCTTATAAGTCACTCATTATACCATATTTTCACCCAATCTTGGATTCAATCTTTTTGTCAACTTGTTCTCTTTCAATTAGGACTGGTTTTATATTTCTGTTTGCATCTGATTAATCGTGGGCCTCATTTGTCTGAGAGTAGGCATCTCATTTTTTGAGTAAAAAACAAATAATTTATGAGTAAATTTGGAAATATGAAAAAAAAAAATGAAAAAAATGGCTACTGTTGATCACACTTGTCTACTCTAATGTTTCACCAGGAATTTTGTTTTGAAACTTTTGTTTTGTAAAAAATATGGCACATAGTCACACTTGTGGTGTTCCCGGTCAAAAATGACCGGCCTATATAAAATAGCTTATAAGTCACTCATTATACCATATTTTCACCCAATCTTGGATTCAATCTTTTTGGCAACTTGTTCTCTTTCAATTAGGACTGGTTTTATATTTCTGTTTGCATCTGAATAATCGTGGGCCTCATTCATCTGAGAGTAGGCATGGTCAAAAATGGTCACAATGGCCGACCATTGAAAGTGAATGGGAGAGACTGAAAATAACAGAACAATTTAGTTTTCAGGAGCATGTTCATTATTTTCATGTACACATATGAGCATGTGTGCTTGCAAACATCGAGCCCTTGGACCTGTGCATGTATCGATACATTTATACACACGCTACCCAGACACACACATGTTAAAACACACAAACTTTTTTAAATATTACACACATTCTTTTCCACAGAGAGAAATTTGATCCTACCCTAACCTGCATCTAATATACATTTATCCATCTGACATTACCACACACACACACACACACACACACACACACACACACACACACACAGGCCGTGATCAGATTTTTGACTCAGAAACTAGTGAGGAGGAGGAAATTCAGGATGCATCTTGCAGTGAAGATGTTTCTAAAGAGGAAGGCACCACTGAATCGGCTACGGAGCTTGAAACAACTGATGAGGAGCAGTCTTCCAGTGATGAGGGCCCAGCTGAGGTTACCGTTTCATTCTGGTCAAAAGATGGAACTTTGTCCTGGCCTTCATCCCCACCTATGAGGCAAGGCAGGTTTTCTTCTGAAGGCCTTCCTCTTCAGAAACATCTTCACTGCAAGATGCATCCTGCATGTCCTCCTCCTCACTAGTTTCTGAGTCAAAAATCTGATGAATAACATCATGTGCAGAGCTGTTTTGCCATTGTGCTGCCACAAATGAATGACAAGCAAAATGCTGTGAGGCATTTTATATATGCCTGTGCTATCACATGATGTATATTTGTAAATATTGTCTAGTTCTGTGTGAGAACCTCACAGTTCCAAAACAAAATGTCATAATATTTTGTCTGGAAGCTGTGATGAAACAAGACCATGAAAGAAAGATTCTTTTGAAGCCGGGTCACTGCAGTCACGGCCAGTTTGTGTGTGTGTGTGTGTGTGTGTGTGTGTGTGTGTGTGTGTGTGTGTGTGTGTGTGTGTGTGTGTGTGTGTGTGTGTGTGTGTGTGTGTGTGTGGTAATGTCAGATGGATAAATGTATATTAGATGCAGGTTAGGGTAGGATCAAATTTCTCTCTGTGGAAAAGAATGTGTGTAATACTCAAAAAAGTTTGTGTGTTTTAACGTGTGTGTGTCTGGGTAGCGTGTGTATAAATGTATCGATACATGCACAGGTCCAAGGGCTCAATGTTTGCAAGCACACATGCTCATATGTGTACATGAAAATAATGAAAATGCTCCTGAAAACTAAATTGTTCTGTTATTTTCAGTCTCTCCCATTCACTTTCAATGGTCGGCCATTGTGACCATTTTTGACCATGCCTACTCTCAGATAAATGAGGCCCACGATTATTCAGATGCAAACAGAAATATAAAACCAGTCCTAATTGAAAGAGAACAAGTTGACAAAAAAATTGAATCCAAGATTGGGTGAAAATATGGTATTATGAGTGATTTATAAGCTATTTTTTATAGGCCGGTCATTTTTGACCGGGAACACCACAAGTGTGACTATGTGCCATATTTTTTACAAAACAAAAGTTTTAAAACAAAATTCCTGGTGAAACATTAGAGTAGACTAGTGTGATTAACAGTAGCCATTTTTTTCATATTTTTTTTTCATATTTCCAAATTTACTCATAAATTATTTGTTTTTTACTCAAAAAATTAGATGCCCACTCTCAGATAAATGAGGCCCACGATTAATCAGATGCAAATAGAAATATAAAACCAGTCCTAATTGAAAGAGAACAAGTTGACAAAAAGATTGAATCCAAGATTGGGTGAAAATAGGGTATAATGAATGATTTATAAGCTATTTTTTATAGGCCGGTCATTTTTGACCGGGAACACCACAAGTGTGACTATGTGCCATATTTTTTACAAAACAAAAGTTTCAAAACAAAATTCCTGGTGAAACATTAGAGTAGACTAGTGTGATCAACCGTAGCCATTTTTTCCATATTTTTTTTTCATATTTCCAAATTTACTCATAAATTATTTGTTTTTTACTCAAAAAATGAGATGCCTACTCTCAGACAAATGAGGCCCACGATTAATCAGATTCAAACAGAAATATAAAACCAGTCCTAATTGAAAGAGAACAAGTTGACAAAAAGATTGAATCCAAGATTGGGTGAAAATATGGTATAATGAGTGACTTATAAGCTATTTTTTATAGGCCGGTCATTTTTGACCGGGAACACCACAAGTGTAACAAGGTAACAATACTCCCACAAAAAAATAAGAAAATTTTCAAAAAAACACTGAGATTTAGTTATACCGTTTGGGAACAAAGTCACTAAGTTTCAGTCCAAAGCGACAACATTAACTAGTATTTTCGGGAAAAAGAAAATCTTCTCCGGGTCAAATTGACCCGAACACCACATGAGGGTTAATGTCAACAACTTGCCACAAAGGGGTGGCTTCTTCATTTCATAGCTTGGTCTTACATACAGTAGCAGTGGCTTTACATGCACATTACATAATTACATATTGGCTCGTCCTGCTTTTCAGAACATTTAAAAAATGACTGTCTTAAAAATGTTTTCAAAACTACAAACTAATCAGTAATCATTTTGAATGAATGAATGAGGCATTTATATAGCGCTTTTCATGTACTACTGTACACCCAAAGCGCTTTACAGTCATGTCGGGGTCTCTCCTCAACCACCACCAGTGTGCAGCATCCACTTGGATGATGCGATGGCAGCCACAGAACAACGGCGCCAGTGCGCTCACCACACACCAGCTATAGGTGGAGAGAGGAGGGAGAGTGATAGAGCCAATTCAGTGGATGGGGATTATTTTAATATTATTTTATCACACAATACTGTATGGTTTAATTTTCCAGTAAAAGTGTTATAGTAGTTATTCTAGCTGTCAACATTTCTGATAAACCCTAACCAAGTTTGTAAAGAAAAACTTAAAAAATCCAAAACACATATATTTTTATATATACATTTATATTTTTTGAACAGGGCTGTCAAGGTTCGTTTATATTCCTCAGTGCAGGCACACAGTCAAAGTGTATCAGTGCCAGAGAATCAAGCCCTGGAGAGGTGTCAGGTGTGAACAAGTATGTTCTATGATGATAAGGAACACATTCACTGAACTGATTACTCCACCATTTCACCTTGTTACCTGCCTTTATAAGCCCCCTGGATACAAATATACTTGTATGGCCATGTGCTCAAGTGTTTCAGAACCTGCCTCAACAGCTCCTGCTAAAACGGAATTTAATGGCTTGTTTCCACCGAGCGGTACGGTACGCTACAGTGCAGCGGTACGGTACGCTACAGTACAGTACGATTCGGGACGGTAAACCCTGATCTGTCTTGCGTTTCCACCACCAACAGTACCATACTTGATAGGCGTGGT